ACTGATATACATTTATGATATATCATAACAGACTGATATACATTTCCAGCTCTCTAAAGGAGTCTTTAAGCACAGCCTCCATCTTGGATATAATAATAACAATAACTGCTTCCGCTACTACAGGCCAAGCATGCTGCCAGCTGCTATGACTTAATCCAGCTCATTTCATCCACATACCCCTGCCAGAGACCTGCTTCTGCCCTCCCTCTATAGGAGAAAAAAAAACCTGAGGCAGAAAAAGGCACTAAGTCTACAATAATCAAACCTGTGTGGTTCTGACATATATAGATCCAAAGGGTAGAATGAGTGTCCGGAAATAAACCCATACATCTATTTCCTTCCTTCCCTTCCTCCCTCCTTCCTTCCTTCCTTCTTTTTTTTTTTTTTTTTTTTTTTTTTTTTTTGACATGGAGTCTTGCTCTGTCACCCAGGTTGGAGCACAGTGGTATGATCTCAGCTCACTGCAACCTCCATCTGCCAGGTTCAGCCTACTGAGTAGCTGGGACTATAGGCATGTACCACCACACCCAGATAATTTTTGTATGTTTAGTAGAGACAGGGTTTCACCATGTTGGCCAGGCTGGTCTCGAACACCTGATCCCAGGTGATCTGCCTGCCTTGGCCTCCCCAAGTGTGGGATTAAAGGCATGAGCCACTGTGCCTGGCCCCAATAGCTTTTCAACAAGGGCCAATAAGATCATTCCATGGGAAAGGAATAATTCAATAAATAATGCCAGAACTATAAGAAAAAGAAGAAAGTTTGGGGCTGGGCACAGTGGCTCACGCCTGTAATCCCAGCACTTTGGGAGGCCAAGGTGGATGGATCACAAGGTCAGGAGTTCAAGACCAGCCTGGCCAAGATGGTGAAACCCCATCATCTCTACTAAAAATACAAAAAATTAGCCAGCCGTGGTGGCAGGTGCCTGTAATCCCAGCTACTCGGGAGGACTGAGGCAGAGAATTGCTTAAACTCGGGAGGCAGAGGTTGCAGTAAGCCGAAATTGTGCCACTGCACTCCAGCCTGGGTGAGAGAGCAGGACCCTGTCTCAAAAAAAAAAAAGAAAAGAAAGTTTGACCCCTCTCTTATATATAGAATGGATCAAAGGCCAAAATGTAAGAGCTGAAGCTGTAAAACTCTTAAAACAGAAGGGTAAATTTTCACAACCTTGGGTTTGGCAATGGATTTTTAGAGATGACAGCAAAAGCACAAGCAATAAAAGAAGAAAACAAAATGGACTTTATAAAAAGTAAAAACCCTTGTGCATCAAAGGATATTATCCAAAAAGTAAAAAGACATTTTACAGAATGGGAAAGAATATTTGCAAGTCACATATCTGATAAAGGTCTACTATCTAGAATATATAAAGAACACTTGAAACTCACCAGCACCACTAATAACAAAACAATTTAAAAATGAGCAAAGGACTTAAACAGACATTTCTCCAAAGAAGGTATATGGTATGGTTTGGATTTTTGTTCCCTCCAAATCTCTCTTCCAATGTTGAAATGTGACATCATTCCAATATTAGAGGCTGGGCCTAGTGAGACATGTTTGGGTTAGGGTTGGGGGATCTCTCATGAATGGATTGGTGCTGTCCTCGCAGCCGTGAGTTCTCACTCTATGAGTTCCTTTGAGGTCTAGTTGTTTAAAAGAGGCTGGCACCTCCTCCCTCCCTTTCTCACCACGTGGCATGCCTGCTCCCTTCTGCCTTCCACCAAGAGTAAAAATTTCCTGAGGCCTCACCAGAATCCGAACAGATGTTGGTGTCCTGCTTGTTCAGCCTGCAGAACTGTGAGCCAAATAAAGCTCTTTTCTTTTTTATTTTATTTTTTGAAACAGGATCTTACTCTGTCACCCAGGCTAGAGTGTAATGGCGTGATCATAGCTCTCTGCAGCTTCAGTCTTCCAGGCTCAAGTGATCCTTCTACCTCAGCCTCCCAAGTAGCTGGGACTACACACCACCTAATTTTTGGTAGCTAACTTTTTATTTTTATTTATAATAGACGCAAGGTCTTGCTATGTTGCTCAGGCTGGTCTCGAACTCCTGAGCTCAAGCAATATTCCCACCTCAGCCTCCCAAAGTGCTGGGATTACAGGCATGAGTCACTGCACCCAGCCCTCTTTTTTTTTCTTTCTTTCTTTCTTTTTTTTTTTTTTTGAGAGGGATTCTCGTTCTGTCACCCAGGCTGGAGTGCAGTGGCTTGGCTGCCTCAACCTCCTCAGTAGCTGGGATTACAGGCACATACTACCACACCTGGCTAATTTTTGTATTTTTAGTAGAGACGAGGTTTCACCATGTTGGCCAGGCTACTCGAACTCCTGACCTCAACTGATCCACCCTCCTCAGCCTCCCAGAGTGCTGGGATTATAGGCATGAGCCACCAAGCCCGGTCCTTTTACTCTATGAATTACCCAGCCTCAGGTATTCCTTTACAGCAATGAAAATGGACTAACACCGTATACAAATGGCCAATGAGCGAATGAAAAGATGCTCAACATCATTAGTCACTAGGGAAATGCAAAAAAGCACTAAGCTGAGTTAGAGCCTGGGTCTGTCTGACTCCACTGACCTGGGATCCTGGGTCTTCTCCCTTCCTCTCGCCACACCTGTCCACACCTCCTAGGGGTCACTCTAGGGAGTTGAGACAGCCAGACCTCCCAGGGGTGGCATGGCCACAGTGGGGCTGGAGATGGTGAGATTCAGTCTTGGTGAAATGGAAAAACTCAATGGCCAATATCCCCACACAAACAGTCCTGGTCTGTTTGGGGTTGCTGCTGGATCCCAAAATAATGCCTGGGGCATAGCTGTTCAGTACATATTTACTGACTGACTGACTGAATGAGTGAATGAATGAATGACAAGGTTATGGCTTGAGAGGAGTAACAGGTCAGGTTCCCAGGGAAGCCCATGGATGAGTGAGCAGGAGGTTTATTGGGGAGTGCTCTTGGAGGCAGCACCTGTGTGGAAGCAAGGTCAGCAGGATCAGGCAGAGGAGCTGAGCTGCAATGCAGTCACAACAAAGGCCTCAGTCATCCCTGGGGAAGTTCTGGAACTGGACTAGTGCTGCAGAGCTGTCCTGCCTGGGGAAAGGCAGCCGGGCTTTTGTACTCCACATTCACCAGTCACTGGAGGTGTGCTGCCCATGGGGTGGGGGGTCTAGGGGACCATGCCCAGAGAGAGACTCAGCTGGGCACCAACCATCAGCCACCAGCTCTCCCAGCAGCTGGAAAGTGAGTGCCTCTGTATAGAAGGAGGACGTGGGCACACACCAGTGTCCACTACAGCAGGGGTTTGGTCCTCTCTCTCCTTGTGCTCAGTTGAACTCAGCTGAATTTAGTTACCACAAACATGCATTCATTCATTCGTTCGTTCAACAAACATGTAGTAGGCACCTACTATATGCAGATGCTGTGCCAGCCCTTGGGGCTATGGAGACATACAAGGCACATGCAGCCCCTGCCCAAAGGAAGCAACAGTCAAGTGGAGAAACAGACACAGAAACATGCTACAAGATCACATCACTGCCTTCATCTCCCACTCACCACCCTGCAGTCCCCAGACATGCCAAGTGCCCTCCTGCCTCAGGACCTTTGCTTGTACCATGTCTTTGAAATCCATTGTGTAACTGACACTGACAGCTCATTTGAACCTATATTAAGCCACCATTGAAGTGCTCAGTCGGCCCATGTGGCTTGTGGCTTCTGCATTAGTGCAGCTCTGAGTAGGGAAAGGTAGAAGCTTTTTTCTGTTGGCCACAGGTCCCTGGACATGAATTGTCCACATTTTCCTCAACTTTTCAATAAACCAAGAAGGAGACCTGCTCCATCACTGGCAGGACCATGAACTCTCAGCAAAAACATCTGTTTGCAGCCCCTCACCAAGTCCTTGTCATTAATTTCATTTTAAAAGTTACCTTGTTTTGTTTTAAGACAGTCTCACTCTGTTGCCCAAGCTGGAGTGTGGTGGCATAATCATAGCTCACTGTAGTCTTAACCTCCTGGGCTCAGATAATCCTCCTGTCTCAGCCTCCTGAGTAGCAGGGACCACAGGTGCACACTACCACACCTGGCTAATTTTTGAATTATTTGTAAACATGGGTCATCACTATGCTGCCCAGGCTAGTCTCTAACTCTGGGGCTTAAGCGATCCTCCCTCCTTGTTCTCCCAAAGCACTGGGATTACAGGTTTGAGTTACTGCACCTGGCCAAAGTTAGCTTTAATTCAGCACTTACTGTGTGCCTGGCACTGTTTTAAGTCTTTGTATACATTACCTCATTTAGGCCTCTTGATAACTTGTACAATAGACATAATGATTGTACCCCTTTTACAGATGAAGAAAGTGGGGTTCAGAGAGGTCAAAGAATGTGCTCTAAATCACACAGTTTGTGCAAGGAAGAACCTGATGTGTAACTCTGGTAGGCTGGCTCCAGAGCTTGTGTTCCTAATGTGTTAGGAATGTGTTCTCACTCTTTCATTCAGTCATTCAACAAACACTGGCCACTAGAATCAAGGTGGAGGTACATGGGCCTGGCAAGTCAGGAGCTCTGAGACCAACTGTTTCTCTGCTACTGCCTGGCTCAGTGGTCTTAGGCAAGACTGTCCCTTTCTGAGCCTCACTTTCCCCTTCTGTGGAATAAAGGGACTGGAGCATCCTAATTCATGCTTTTTTCTACAGAGAGGACCTCTGTCTACTGCCAGACTTGATAATGGATTCCCCAAGAGTCCAATCTCTGGCCCCAGAAAGGGGGTTCAAGGAAATCCTCATACTCCACCTCCTGCAACAGCACTGGCCGACAGTCCCCTGCTGCAGGTGAAAACATAGTCAATGATATGGATGAAACAAAATCCAACCCAAAAGCAAAAGGCAACATTTATTGAGCACTTACTCTGTGCCTTATGCATCTCATTTCATCCTCACAATAACCCAGTGGAGTTGGCGCTGTTCTTATATCCGTTTTATAGAAGTGGGAGATTGAGATCCACAGAGGTTTAACTTACCCAGGTCAAACAGTGCAGAATCACATCTGCTCACATACAACTCAGTGTTCCCACTCCTGGGTGTCTAACCTAGGAAAATAAAAACTTAGATTCAAGGCTGGGTATGGCATCTCACACATGTAGTCCTAACACTTTGGGAGGTCTAGGTGGGAGGATCACTTAACCCCTGAGGTCAAGGCTGCAGTGAGCTATAATCACACTACTGTGCTCCAGCCTGGGCAATATAGCAAGCCCCATGTCAAAAAGAAAAGAAGACGTACATTCACTCAAAAACCTATACGTAGATGTTTAGAGCAGTCTATTCATCATCACCCCAAACTGGAGACAACCCAATTTAACAGAGGAATTTAATAAGCTATGGTACAACCACACCATAAACTACTACTCAGCAATGAAAAGGTGTGGACTACTGATACAACCAGCAACTTGGATGAATCTCAAATACTTTGTGCTGGGCAAAAAAAGCCAGACCCAAAAATTCACATCTACAGGAATCCATTCATCTGACACTTGGGCATAGCTAAAACTCTAGGGACAGAAAACAGACCAGTGGTTGCCAGGGGGCAGTAGCAGAGGAGAGAATGACCACAAAAGGGTAGAAAGAGGGGATTTTTTGGGGGATGAAATTATTTTGTGTACTGGCTGTGGTGGTGGTTAGATGACTCTCAGCTGTGCTAAAATGTATAGAATTAGGTGGACATGTTGACTCACACCTGTAAACCCAGCACTTTTGGAGGCTGAGGTGGGTAGATCCCTGAAGTCAGGAGTTTGAGATCAGCCTGACCAACATGGCAAAACACTGTCTCTACCAAAAAATATAAAAATTAGCCAGGCATGGTGGTGGGCACGCATAGTCCCAGTTGGGAGGCTAAGGTGGGAGAATCACTTGAACCCAGGAGGTGGAGGTTGCAATGAGCTGAGATCGCACCACTGCACTCCAGCCTGGTCAACAGAGCAAGACCCTGTCTCAACAAAAAAGTTATAGAATGGTACATACATACCCAGAACAGAATCCCAGCTCCATGCAAATGACAACTGGTCACGGGTGATGCCCCAGCTGGAAAACACTTGTTTCCTCTCCCAGGACTTCAGCCAAGAAAGCCCAGTGGTACCTAAGTTAGCTACCGTGGAGAAGAGGGAGTGGAGAGTGACTGCTTAATGGATACAGAGTTTCCTTTCTTTGGGGGATGATAAAAATGTTTGCAACTAAAGAGAGGTGGCAGTTGCACAACACTGTAAATTTACTAAACATCACTGAATTGTTCATTTCAAATTAATTTTATGTTATGTGAATTTCACTTCCATTTATTAAAAATAGTTCCAGGTCCAGCACAGTGGCTCACACCTATAATCCCAACATTTTGGGAGGCCAAGGCAGGAGGATTGCTGGAGCCCAGGAATTCAAAACCAGCCTGGGTAACATAGGGAGACCCCCGTCTCTACAAAAATTTTAAAAATTAGCCAGGCATGGTGGTGTGTGCCTGTAGTCCCAGCTACTCAGGAGGCTGAGGTGGAGCACTTGAGCCTGGGAAGTTGAGGCTGCAGTGAGCCACGATTGAGCCATTGCACTGCAGCTCGGATGACAAAACAAGACCCTGTCTCTAAAATAATAAGTAAAGATAAAAGGTTCAAAACCCACCCCACAAAAAAAAAGTATCCAGGGATAACTGTGCCCTAAATCTACCCCTAAGAAATTCAGGCCCTAGAGAGGTTAAGTAACCTACCCAAGGCCACACAGCCAGGATGTAGCTGACCCTGAAATCAACCTACCTCTGAAACTCCAGTTCTTTCTACTGGAGATGGGAGAAAATGGGTTAAATATCACCCGTCCCTTTCTCTCCAAGGAATTCCTCAGGGATTTCTTCCCCCCACCCCCCCCCCCCCAGCAGTGTGACTTTATTTACACAAAAACTCTTCCAGGGACAAAAACAGGAAACTCAGGCCAGTATATTGTTGTACCCTTTTTCTCAAAATAACAGCAATTCTGTGAAAGTGGAACTGTTCTAGAAAATTGAGACTGTGCATCACTCCACGTGTTTGCATAGAAAGAAACAAACCTTCTGAGAAGTGCACTGAATCCAAACGCCTGATTTCACGGGGAAGGAAGGAAAAGCGGGAGCATGAGACATTGAAATGCACCCCCCAGGGCAGCAGGGGCACTTTTCTCAGTGACTTTGGGATGGGGTTAGGTGGGGAGGCAGGGGATGGACAAAATGAACACCTGCCAAAGCCTCAAAGCAGTTTCTCCAACCAAGAATGCCCTGACCGCCAGTAAGGGGGAGTTTCCCAACTGTCCTGGGATGAGTTTTCTAGGGGGCCTGACCCCGATTCGAGATTCACTAAAGCATACAGCGCCCTTACACTGGAGGTTGCTTTTGAGGGACTCGAACCTCAGCCTTGCAAAACAGCAACGCTTGAGTGAACTGAGCTGGGGACAAAGGAAGTGTCAGTCAGCCCAGGAATACCTTTTAAAGGCCAAATGAAGGAGGCCACAGCTGCTGGACTGGGAGATAGAATTTGCATGAGCCTGGGGCTGGGCCCTGCACCCCCTCCCCAGATGTCCTCAGGGATCTGTGAGCAGAGAGGCCTGGCTGCAAAGGGTCTGGAGGACAGCCCCTCTGCTAAGTTGTCTGCTGCCAGGGCAGAGGGCTTTGGGAAGCTAGAGGAGGCTGGGCTCCAGGAGGGGTGGCCTGGTCCCTGCCTGCCTGCCTGCCTCACTCTCTGGGCCTCGAGCTCCTGTGACACATGACTCCTCTCTTCCTGGAGTGATCCAAGCCCTGCCATTTCCTGACTTTGCCCACACTGTACCCTCTGCCTGGGGTAACTCCATGTCTGCCCTTTGTCCCTTAGGTCTCAGCCCAGCACAAGCCCCTGCCTCCGGAGGTCATCCGGCCTCATCAGGCTACACCCTCTCATCAAATCAGATTCCCTCCCTTCTGGGTAGGTTTACAATGAAACCCTCCTTAGAGGCAGGGTGCGGTGGCTCCCACCTGTAATCCCAGCACCTTGAGAGGCTGAGGTGGGAGGATCACTTGAAGTCAGGGGTTCGAGACCAGCCTGGGTAAAATAAGGAGGCTCTTGTCTCTGTAACAAATTTAAAAATTAGCTCACTAGGCCGAGTCCAGTGGCTCATGCCTGTCATCCCAGCACTTTGGGAGGCCAAGGAGGGTAGGTCATGAGGTCAAGAGATAGAGGCCAGCCTGGTCAACATGGTGAAAACCTGTCTTTACTAAAAATATAAAAATTAGCCAGGCATGGCGGCACGCAACTGTAATCCCAGCTACTGGGGAGGCTGAGGCAGGAGAATTGCTTGAACCCGGAAGGTGGAGGTTGCAGTGACTTGAGATCTCACCATTGCATTCCAGCCTGGTGACAGAGCAAGACTCCATCTAAAAATTAAATAAGTAAGTAAATAAATAAAAAAAGAAACAAACAACAACAACAAAAACCTCTGTGTCAATCACAGCCTTCAAGCTAGGGGAGAGGAGGCTGTATTCCGCTCTCTGCTAACTAACTATAGATTTGTGGAAATGGGTGAGTGGCTGTGCCCTTCTGAGCTTCAGGGCCCTACCTATAAAATGGGCATAACTGTCATGCCCATCTTTAAGAACAGCCCTGGGGGCAAGTGAGGGGAAGTCATGGGAAGATCTCTGCCCACAACCTTGGACAGAGCAGGTGCTTGTCACACAGTAGCCAGAGTGCAGAGGCTGTGGGCATGAATCCAGCCAGACTGCCCAGGTTCAAATTCCAGCTCCCACATCTTGCTAACTCTGTGGCCCCAGACAAGTTACTTACTTAATATTTCTTTCTTTCTTTTTTTTTCCCCCAAGTCTTGCTCTGTCACCCAGGCTGCAGTGCCGTGGTGCAAACTCGGCTCACGGCAACCTCCACCTTCCTGGTTCAAGCAGTTCTCCTGCTTCAGCCTTCCAAGTAGCTGGGATTACAGGTGCCTGCCACCATTTACATTACATTAGCCCGCCTGGCTAATTTTTGTATTTTTACTAGAGATGTGTTGGCCAGTCTGGTGTCAAACTCCTGACCTCACGATCTGACCACCTCGACCTCCCAAAGTGCTAGGTTTACAGGCGTGAGCTACTGCACCCGGCCAATTGACTTAATATTTCTGTGCCTTGGTTTCTTCATCTGTGAAATGGGATTGTTATGAGAACTCAAAGGGATTCCCAGGGCAGTTTTTAGTGCATAGTCTGGTTGTGTGTGTGTGTGTGTGTGTGTGTGTGTGTGTGTGTGTTTAATATAGAGACAGGGCTTCACTATGTTGATCCTCCTGCCTCAATGTCCCAAAGTGGTGGGATTACAGTTGTGAGTCACCACACCTGGTCACTTGAGACTATTATTATTTTATTTTAAGATAGGGTCTCCCACTGTCACCCAGGCTAGAATACAGTGGTGCGATCTCAGCTCACTGCAAACTCGACCTCCAAGGTTCAAGCAATTCTCCTGCCTCAGTCTCCCAGTAGCTGGAATTACAGGCACCCACCACCACATGAGGCTAAGTTTCACATTTTTAGTAGAGATGGGGTTTCGCCATGTTGGTCAGGCTGGTCGCAAACTCCTGACCTCAAGTGATCTGCCTGCCTCAGCCTTCCAAAGTGCTGGGATTGCAGGAGTGAGCCACCACTCCTGGACAATTTTTTAAGGCAACGTAATCAGCCCATGGCCAGGGTAAAGAACAGCCGGTACCAAGATCTGACCTCATTGGCCATGTGATCCAAGAGGCCTCTGCCTGCCTGCAAAGTAGTACCGCGCGCTGGGATCTCCCTGGTCCAAATCCCAGCTTCAGTTTTGGGTATTTCCTCATAAGCCTTGACTACCCCAGAGTGTGGGGGACTTTGTAGTCTGGGCCCAGGCATGTACTCACCAGTCAATGGCATCACAGGGCTGGCCGTGGACTCCCAGGCCACAATAGCAACCATATTTCATATAGGCCAGAGGCGTTTGGGAGCCAACACAACCCACAGTTCCTGCCAGTTCCATGCCAGTGCACATGTGACTTTCTGGAGGCTGGGGAGTAAACAAGTGAGAGGCTGCAGGTCAGGGCTTCCCTGACCCCTGGGAAGGGCATTAGCCTGAGAAGAGCCTAGATGTTACAGCCTGGCTGTCTGGGTTTGAATCCTACTTCCTACCTGTGTGATCTTGAACAAATTCCTAACCTTTCTGGGCCTTGGTTTCCTTGTCTGTGAAATGGAGGATAAGCTGTCTTCAACTCATAGAATGAAATGAGATAATGAGCCAGGTGCAGTGGCACATGCCTGTAATCCAAGCACTTTGGGAGGCCGAGGTGGGTGGATCACCTGAGGTCAGGAGTTCAAGAGCAGCCTGGCCAACATGATGAAACCCCATCTCTACTAAAAATACAACAAATTAGCTGGGCGTGGTGGTGGGTAACTGTAATCCCAGCTACTCGGGAGGCTGAGGCAGGAGAATCCTGCCCGGGAGATGGAGGTTGCAAGGAGCAGAGATAGCACTATTGGACTCCAGCCTGGACTATAAGAATGAAACTCCATCTTGAAAAAAAGAAAAAAAGAAATGAGATAATGAGTATAAAGCCCCTGGCATGTATAAAGGCTACCTATTATAATCCACCTGGGTGAGGTGGCTTACGCCTATAATCCCAGCACTTTGAGAGGCCAAGGCAGGCAGATCACCTGAGATCAAAAGTTCAAGATCAGCCTGGCCAACATTGTGAAACCCGATCTCTAGTAAAAATACAAAAATCAGCTGAGCATAATGGCACATGCCTGTAATCCCAGCTACTTGGGAGGCTGAGGCAGGAGAGTCACTTGAATCTGGGAGGCAGAGGTTGCAGTGAGCCAAGATTGTGCCACTGCACTCCAGCCTGGACAACAGAGCAAGACTCTCAAAAAAAGAAAGGAAAAAGTGTAACTGTTATAATCAATGTCCTCAGGGTAGCCATGAAGGGAAAAAAGAGTCGCACATGAAATGTTTGTCCAGTTGGCTGTGTTGGGCACTGGGCATCAGGAATGAGCCTACAGGTATCTGTTACCAACGTGGGCTCCTCTGTGGCAACTTCCCAGGCCCTGGGACTGCCCTGTGCCCATGACTTGCCTTCCAAACTCAGGCTCAAGGCCCTTGGCATCTC